GCACTCTCTCTACCCCCCCCCACCCCCACACCCACCCACACCCACCCCCCCCCCCACACCCACACCCCCACCCACATCCACACCCACACCCACACACGCCCACAGCCACACACCCACACCCACATCCACACACCCAACACCCACACCCACACCCCACACATCCACAGCCACACACACGCACACCCACACCCACACCCAACACCCAACACCCAACACCCACACCCACACGCATCCACACCCACACCTACACCCACACCTACACCCACACCCACACCCACCTACACCCACATCCTCGAGTGAAAGAATGAAAGAATTAATTGCGTTAGTAGTTCAAGAAGACTTTAATTTTCTAAGTGATATTATAAAAGAAGAAAAGAAAATCTTTATAAAGAGCTTTGGAAATCGAATAGAACAATTTATCTGTATTTTGAAAGATCCAATCGCAATATGGTCCTCGTATATTCCTAACTGTTTACTTAAAATTTATTATGACATGAAAGTGAATCAGTTGAAGTACAATACAAACTTTTTACATTATTACACAATATGTTTATCCTTAATAGTCAATAGCGGATGATTACCGATTGACACTCGAGCGTTAGCTGAAGCTACAGATAATGCTGAAGATAAATATAGTTTATATGCTAAATATTTTGCTTTTAAAATTACTGGTGCTGCCAATGATCGTCAAGATAACTTCGCTGAACTACTGGACAAGTGGATTGCTCCAAGTAAAACTGATCAAATTATGAAATCATTTTTAAAAATTAAAGATACAATTCAGATTTATATACCAGTTCGAACATATTCATGACCTACAGATATATTTATTTTTACATTAATATGAATGTATTGCACTTAGTAGATGGCATTTTTGAGGTCTTCTTTAAAGAAAAATACTTCAATAGAAACCCTGAATGGATTCTATTAGTTATATTGTTACACTTTGAAATTATGCCAAAACATTTAGAAAGGTTTAAGATCTATAAGAATTTACTATCTGAATTAACGGAAAAGGCAGATATTAAAGGTTTTTTATTTGAAAAAATTCAATCAATATGCAATCCCTACTATAAATCAAGAGCATTAAATCAATTAGCTGGATTTTATGATGAAAAAAGTTATGAATTATTATATGAATCTTTTACATTAACAAAAAAATATTCCAGAATCAACGTTAAAATTTCAAGTTTTGGAAAAGATTTTTAACATTGTTTTGTATAAAGAAGTAGAACAGAATCTATTCATTCAAGAAATATTCGATGAGTTAATTTTAACATTTGACAATATTGAAGGTCTCTATAATCGAATTATTGCATCAGTAAGATTATCATTTTATGGATTAGGAGAATTTTGAACAAGGAATTTAACAAATGCTATAGAAACACTTATTAAAATGGATAAAGATGATGAGAAAATCAAATTAATCATTAAATTAAAACCACTAGTTAGTATTTACGATGATCTTCAAATCAAACTCAATGGAATTAGAGAAACTCTAAAAAATAAAGTGCATGATTATTTTGTCAATTCTAACTACGAAAGAATATTATTTTCTGAAATATTTGATGTTCATACTTAAAACTTTATTCTCACAATTAAATGACATAAAATTAGTAATTAATAAAACAAAGAGTAGAGATCAATTGTGGATCAATCTTTTGAAAGATACTGAACATTGGTTTACATAATGAAATATTTTTGATACCACATATAACAATTATTATCGATGAATTAGTAAGAAAAGGAAAAGAAGATACTCTTTCAATTCTTTTCCCATATATCGTAAAACTATCAAATGATGTATTATCAACTGTTCAGAGATCGTTAATCAAAATAATAACAAACAAATTAAAAAGTTATCAGCTGTTTTACTTACAGAAGCAAAGTATGTTTTTGAATCAGTAATTGATAAAGTTATTGATTTACTAAAAAGTGATAATGATAAAATGAGATATAGAACTCAACAAACTTTTCAACATCCAGAAAAAGATGTCGAAGCGCCAACTAAGAGAATATCTGTAATAGGAGAACAAATAAAGATTAAAATTTTTCAAAATGTATTAGTACAAGAACATCTTCCACGGGTTCGAGCTTATTTTGCTACCTTTTTCTATGATTTACTCTGGAATGTTTCTAATTATAATTTTTCAAAACTTAAATGAGAATATAAATCAATTGAACGAAAGCAACTCTACTAATGGAAGAAGAATACAGTTTTTCGATAGAATTTACTTTATGGATGGCCATACTTGAAATTCAATAATGCAAACATTAGAATTACTATTGCATCAGAGGGTGTGTGTTTCAGTCTTCTTTTCATCAACACTCACCTACATTAGAATTACTATTGCATCAGAGGGTGTGGATGGTGTGGATGTAGGTGAGTGTTGATGAAAAGAAGACTGAAACACACACCCACACCCACTATTGTGTTCAAATCATTTTTTTCTGTTCAAGGACACTTCTCATTATTTATGATATGACATTGAATGACCAAATGAAGTTTCATCGCCAATTCTTCTTAGCGGTATGAGATTAAAAAAAATTATTTCATTAACTCGTTACAACAAAATTTCAAGGCTCAAATGTAATGTGCTTGTATATGTCAGCATGACTGTATATTTTCTCATGGTCACAGTACAAAATGAAAAAAAGAAGAGAAAGAACATTGGAAGAACGACAAATACATAATGACGAACGCATCTCTGCAAAAAAATACAACATAGTTGATGAAAGTGTCATGCATCATTGATTCCCGTAAACATTTCTAAGGAAGAAAAACCAAGTAATATCGTCAACGATAAATAAGGAGCAAAAATCAACTGTAAACACAAAAAAGAAACTCATACGGTCAAATATCGCTTAACAAGTACGTGTATTTGATTCTTAACATTGTTAGTTTAGTGAAAAATTTAAACTTAATACATGAAAATAGTTTTACACAACAAAATACTCGAGCAGACATGGAAATAAGGCATCTTAATGGCTAGAAAGTATTTTCAACAAAGCTTCGATTGAGAATGTTCAGAAGATGTCATCGATAGTCTTCATTGTAGCAGCTTTTACAGTTAAAAATAGTATCACTGCAAATTATACTAATCACAATGCACTTGACAATGCTTACCTACTATTGAGAATTATGGTAGTAGACGACATTAATCCAGTCTTAGGTAGCCAACATAGCAGCGAGGTTAAAAACTGTTTGCTGAGTTTTTTTAAATATGAAGAAGCATTAAGAAAACTATTTAAATCTCGACGCATTAAATCAAAGGAACAGACTTTTATTCACACAATTGAAGAATCGTCCCGATTGTTCAAATTTAATATTTAGCGGAAATTTTGTGATAAAAGACATCTTATCGATTCTTGCCTATAAGCAACGATCTAAGAGTGTAGCTCTGCGGAGAATTTTATCAATTTACATATTTGTTTTTTCAGATGATACCTTTTGTAAAAAAGAACATGAGTCAAAATCTCTTCATGAGAAAAGCATTTAGATGAATGAATTTGAACTGATTTAACTCCATTTCAATGGTATAAATATAATCAAATAACTACGGTTGATTTCTAAAAGAAGCTTTTAGAAATTATTGACTGTTCTTATATCATTGTGAATATAGAATTTCGGGAGAGAAGATTTCAATGTTTGATTCTTATTTGTAAATTATATATTATATAAAAACTGATCAGTACAATGCAATAAATTTCAATGATTTTCTTGTGATTGATGCGGCAGAGAGAATGCTGGTTTCAATATTTTGACTACGACTTCTTCAGTTTTCTTGTTTTCGAACGAAGTTTTATTTTCAAAGGATGTATGATACTGTTCTACACTAGACGTATATCAAAAACCTTCCCTGGAAAAACACGAAGACAAAGATTCAGCTACAGCCCTCAATATGAAAGACAGAGTAAGCTCTCTAAGTTATTTCGAAAATAAACTGAAAAATATACTTTACGAAAATAGAAACAAGGAAATAAAAGTTAACACATGAGGGGGTACTTTTAGATTAGTTCTTTTTCGCTAAATACCCAATATTTTTCCTGACTACAATGCAGAAAATAGGATTGAATCTCATTTTCTCTTTGTGTCTGGTACAGCAGGGGTTTTTCACCAAATCTATGAAAACTTGAATCCAAAGGATGCTATTTTCGATTAATGATACTTCTTTTCCTAGGAGGCCAAAAATCGAAACTGATAATAGGTAAATTTGAGAAAATATGACAAAGACAATTACTTCTTCTATTATTTCCTCTTTATCCTTAACAGATTTAAGAAAAACAGAGGAAATAGTGATTTAACTTGGGAAGTTGGCTTTTATTGATATATTTAATATTTTAGACGCATTTTTCCCACCCAATTTCTCTAGAGATGTTTCTAATTTACGTTCTTTGTAAACAAGAAAGTAAAGTGAAGGTTTTTCGAAGTGAAAATGACGAGATCACCATTCTTTCTTGCACATCTGTTAGTTCATTTTCAAAAAGTTTGCGGGAAACCACTTAGGATTTAGAAAGCTTTCTAAACAGGGCATTTTGCATGATTCAAGCCTGCCAATGTGCTGTACATAATTGATTTATCGAGAACGTTTCAATTCTTTGATGTAGCGTTGCATGAAATCTAGCAGTTGATAGTGGTTGCTCGTAAGGTCGCCGACGACCGACTGCTAGGTATTTATTGAGGTTCACTTAAGAAAATCTCAGCAAGAAAAAATGGTTCGACATTTTCACAAAACGGTCGTCTCTCACTATAACACAAAGAGCCTTTTTTTTCATGACCGTGTGTTTAGCATCATTTGTCAAAATAGCATTCAGTAAATGATGAGACATTAAAACTAGATCAGATTCAGTCAAAAATGAAGCGAGTCATAGTGAGCAGCGTTATTTTTATATATATGGCTATATCAAATTAATCATTTCCTCTTTAGAAGAACATAAATGTCGTCTGGCAAACATATTATGCTATCCTATCAATGGGATCATCAAAATCTTGCAACAGAGGTTTATGATCATCTTAAGAAAATGAATATTCCTTTATGGATGAATACACAAGGTGGAATGAAAAATCATTTAACTGAAAGGTAGATCTTTTTCAACAATATTAGTATAATAAATTTTTAATGGTTTATCCTTTTCTTTTGTCTAACTATGGCTGAAGGCGTGGAAAATGCAGTAGCAATATGTTGTTTTTTGACACCAAAATATCAAGATAGTGTCGCATGTAAAGATGAATTAATATATGCAATAGAACAACGCATATGTATTATCCCAATACTTGTAGTACCAAATTGGAAACCAAAAGGTTGGTTAGGTTTTAGTATAGAAGGACATAAATGGACTGCTTTTTGGGATACCGATACAAATATGGATTTAAGAATCCAACAGTTAGCTGCTGAAAGTCAATTGTTAGTTGGAGATAAACTCGATTGTTTTCAAGGTGCCAAACCGTTGGATTTTGGTTCACAGGCAAACGACGAAGTAGCAGAGCAAGATGAAATATTTGCTTTGCCAGAATGTGAGTACAAAAGAGAGGGCGAAAATATTTTTTTGTTATATTTTTATCATCTTTTTCTTGAAGATTTTCTTGCAGAAATAATCCAAAGAAAAAATGCATAGTCAACATACAAGATGTTGAGAAATTCATTGAAAAAGAAATAATTTGAATATCTCTTCCATATCTAGGTCGAATCGGCTGTTTCTATCACCAATAATAAAGCACTGTTCATAGCTCTTATTTATAAGAAAAATCTTAACAAATACTATGAAATAACCATAAGTGTCTTCAAACCTTTCACAAATTATAAAGAAACTCTATATATACGTATACACAGGATGGCCCAAAAGTAACGACACCGAAAAAAAAATTGAGCATCTTCATTACGGCTCGAGAAAACGAGATACCCCTAGGATCCACGAATTCGCAATTCAAGGAAATTCGAGAAAATCAACCAGCCCAACACACGTACATAAGATATTAGATTACCCGTCTTCACTACGATAGAATTCTGGCAAATTCCAGAAAATAAAGCAATTCAAGAGACTGAAAGCAATATCCAGCGCATCATATAACTTTCAAATATATCCCATGAAAGTATCGTGGAATTGAAGGAAATCAAGGAACTCAAGAAAATCGAGCATTTCAAGGAAATTGAACCAATTGAACGAAATTCAAGAAATTCAGCGCATTATGTTACTTTGACTTATGTCCCTTGAAAGTATCATGGAATTCAAGGAATTCACGAAAATCAACGAATCATATAACTATGAATTGTATCCCTTGAAAGTCTCAAGAAATTCAAGGAAACAGGAAATTTTGGTGTGGGTGTGGGTTAGTGAGTGTGGGATGTGGGTGTGAGTGTGAGTACCGGTGTGGGTGGGCTGAGGGTGGGGTGTGGATGTGGGAGAAGAGATAAATTTAACACTCACATCCACACCGCGCACCCATACCCGCACCAGCCCTTACTATCTACCATGATTCAATTCCGTGAATTTCCTTCAGGTTCCTTCAATTTCTACAATTTCTAGAATTGCTTGATTTCCTTGAATTCCATGGCACTTCCAGGGGATATAATTCAAAGATATATGGATATGTTGAATTCCTTGAGTTGCTGAGATTTTCTTGAATTGCCAATTTTTGGATCGTAGGTACTGCTGGAACATGTCTCTATCATTTTTAAAAAACTCAGCTCGTTTGCTCGAGCCGTAATGGAGATACTTAATTTTTTATTTGGTACAGTGACTTTTGTGTCATTCTGTATATTTCCATAGTAAAAATAATAAATACCATACTTAACTTTTCCAATTGCTTCTTCACGCTTTACTATTATTTGATCTCAAATATTTATCATAAATGCATGTTTTGTTACTCATTCCTCTCAAAAAGTTTCAGCTTCAAACAACGAGAATTTATTGAGAGAACTGAAAATATGTTACAGATAAATTTCATAGTAGTATTTGTTAAAGTTTTCCTTATGAATTATGAGCTATGAACAATGCTTTATCAATGATGAACGAGTCAGTCCATTTGACTAAAACACAGATGAGATATCAAACTTTTCTTATTTACTGGATTACTGGACAGTGTGTATTAATTGTCATCTTGAGCTTGTATCCTACGCCAGAAGAATCTAATTTTCCATGCTCAAGCATTATGTTATTGTCAATTGGTCATCTTTCTCTGCTCAAAGTTAAAAGCATTATAGACTTTTACTTACAAGTAACTGTTGTCGGAAAGCAAATGCCTTGAGAAAATAACCGTTACAGAAGAGTAATTGTCTGAAAGTAACTCTCGCGTTACCAGAAGTATTGTTAGTTATAATCAATACACTAATAAATATCCTGTTTTGGAAGAAAATCATAAGTGCTTTACCTTAAGAAAATAATTTATAAAAATAAAAATGGAATGTATTCGGACAATCAAATCAGAAGCTTATTAAATAAAACTAAATTTCAATATTCTTTCTTAAGAAATTAATTCATAGATGAGTTATATTGCGATACGTGTACTCCTATTGAGATTTCTGTTCGGATCAACAAATAGTTCTCATTCGAATGTTTCGAACGGAAAAAATATCTTTTTTGATTTTTGGAAATGTAGAGATATACATAATGCATTCGGAGAAACGGTATCACGATGTACGATGAGCTATATTCTCAAATGATGGATGAAATATGTGTTGACCGTCAAATAGCTGGAAGATTGATAATATAGAATATATAAATGATATAGATAGAACGAAAAAGAAAAAAGAAACAGTTCCAATTGATAAAATGTAGATGGATCATTGTGAAATTCAGAAACCCCTATTTAAACAAAAATTATCATATTTTATGTGAATACAGTAATGACGAATTGCTCATACTTAAAAGTAAATATGTTTCTGTTTTTTATTATTTATTTTATAGCTGAAGAACAAGATTTTGATCCAAATTCTTATTATCGTTTAGCAACAGAATGGCAAAGTCCTAATAAATCTCTTGGTGTTGTTAGTGATGGTAAAAATAACAATCAGCTTATACTTGCTGAAACTGATAATTATAGTGAGCAACATTGGAAAATAACACGAGTGTGACATATAAATGAATAATTTACAATTAAACTAAATAATATTTGATATTACAACAAGAATCTCATATAAGTCTTAATTAAATAATTTTATCAGTATATTTTTCGACGATAAATAAAATTTCTATATATTTTATGAATTTGTAACATTTAATAGGATTTACTTATTGTTGATCAAAAAATTGGTTAAAACATTTTCTTTTTACATGAAGTAACAGTAGGGTGTGTGTGGGTGGGTATGGAGTGTGGGTGCGGGTGTGAGTGAGTGTGGGTGTGAGTGTGAATGTGGGTGTAGTTCTTATTGCCAAGAGTAGATCGTCACACCCCACACCCGCCCCACCACATACTTATATTTTTCGTGAACCACTTCTTGAGTTTAATGGATATCATCCAATGCGTAGTCTACTTCGTTCAGGTTTTGTAATACCATCAAATATTATTCAAAAATGGGAATGATGATTATCAGATCGTGAATGTTTTATTAATGACAATGGGAAAATTAATAACAGATAGTTACAATTTCAGTGAAATATGCAATTTTAGCTGTAAATTTTGTAGATGATGAATTTTATATACGTCAAGGATTTGATGTATTTACAACACAACTTCGGCAATCATAAAATGCTCAAATCTACCATTTACTTAAAGATAGTCATTTTCAATTTTTTTAAACAAAAAAGATCATTCGAACTTTGTAAAGAAGTAGCTCGATTTATAAAAAATGATGATACAAAACCTGCTCGTATAATAAATAGATTAATTCATTAAATTTATCACCGAAAAAAAAATGATAACAAGAAAAAAAAATTTCATTCAATCCTGATCGATTCTACAAATTCAATATAGCACATCGTTAAATTGAAGGTATACAAAGCTCCATCACATTCTCTTCTTAAAATATGCTTTCAAGATGTATAATATAGCCTAAAGACACAACCAATTATAAATATAGGAAAAGCAAAAAATTTATTATTCGTGACTTGAATGAAGAAGTCTTTTTTGCACATACTATTTTAATCGATGCTTGATATTTAACAGCACAAACTATCATACGATCAAGATAAGAATTTTTACTTGTAAAATTTTCACAACATAATTGACATTCAAATATTGTCGAAAACAAAAATAAACATTTTATTCAAACCTATTGTTCTTGTTGAGTCAAAAGAAAAATATTACAGATGAAAAAGTACGACTAAAAATAAGTGTATTTGTATATTTCGAAGGTTTTATAGTTTGTGACATTTTTGAAGAAGATGATAAAGGAACACTTTGATCATTATCATTTAAAAGAATTTTTTTCTCATTTGATATTATCTCTCGATCAGTAAGTTTTCCTTTCGTTATAATCAGTCGGTGGGTGTCAGTGTGGATGTGGGTATAGTTGAATATGAGTGGGTGGGGCGTCGGTGTCTAGGGTCGTGGAACAAATACCCACATCCACTCATAACCACACACCCACACCCTTTTATGTAATCGTTCGATTTGATGGTGAAGGTCTCGAATAAAGAAGCCCATATTGATAATGGTATCAGCTTCCAGCACTCGAAGAGCGCAGTTTAGCATAGCATAGATGAATGATGGAAAAGTATATCACCAGATTGCTATTTTAGCATGGTATTCATCCTCAAACCGAGTAACATTGCTTGGCGACCCATAATCATCATTTCGACAGTAAGTTGTAAAGTTCTTGATGGATCCGCTATCATATTCTATATCGAGTAAGATTTCTTTCAATATCTGAGTGTAGATAAATGTAGGCTCCAATTGATTCAAATTTCGTTTCGATGCCTCTTCATCGACTGCCACAAAACTCATCGGCATGGCTTCTTCATTGCATTGTTACACATCCTTTTTTACAGATTCATAGATGTCCATAATATCTGTGTGCACACCCTTCACTTTAACCCATTTTTTTATTTATTGTTCATGTGTGGATTTGTTTTGACAATAGATGTAAATTGTATCAAGATGAGGAATATCATGAATGAGAGGTACTATTTGTGGACCAATAGTACTCGCTACAATCAGAAAGGCTTTTATGTCATTGACATCGGTGAGAAAGTCGATGCTTTGACCCGGTTGAGGATGAATACGCTGGTATTAGACGATGCTGTTGTAATTGTTGCGATGGCTGTTGATTTTTGACCACTCATATTGCTGTGCAACGTTTCTTGATCGTCTATATGAAATTGTGAATAATCGGTTGTTGTGTAGACAGACATCACCTTCTCTATTTATATATTTCTACTACACAGAATGTTTGTGCTATTTGTTGATATTCAAGGACGAACACCAGCTACAGCAGTTCTATTGAAAATACTATTGTGCAGAGCAAGAGAGAGAGAGAGCAATAGAACCATTCGTTTACGACGTTCGAACGAAGGAACAAAAAAATATCAACAACCTATTTTTTTTGTTTTGTTTTTCTTTCCAACTTTCTGTTTCTTTCGTCTGCGCAATTACTATAGTGCCAATAAATGGATTACACTCTGTCGGCGAAAAAGTTCAGAAAAAAAACAACATGATTCATTATTTATTTTTCATCAATTTTTTCAACGGCTTCTTTCGGGTAGCATGAATTTCGCAGTACAGATCTTCTCAGTTCACTTTCGGCAATTGGCAAAAATCATGTCATACACAAAAATTTCATACTTAATAGAACTGGACTTTAGACAATTATTAACTGTTTTTACGGAACGATCAACTGGATTTACACACGGTGTTTGACAAAGATAATCATTTTGTCGTTTATAATGCATAAGACCACTACCTAAACAACAACATACTGTACTTTGCAAATAAATTACGGGTATATCACATAAACGAAAACATAATGTTGTTTCCATAGATGAACTTGTGAGATAACTATCAGGAGATATTTGTGTATAACAACCAACATAATGATATGAACAATAAATGGAGTAATTTAATGAAAATATGTTCAAAAGATTGATCAATAAATGGCACATTGCATGTTAAAAGCAAGAAAACGTTTGAATGAAGTTAAATACAAGCACAAAGAAGATGAAATTTGAGATTCATTTCAATTTATTCGATATCAAATAAACAAAAATTGATAAAAATATAATTATCTGCATTTCTACGATGCAATAATTAAAAAACATTCAATAAATGATCTGATCTTTTTGATTTTTCTTTTTCGTCTATTAATACAAATTTGATACTAAATAGGAGCAGGATAGATGCGGGTGTGGATGTAAATGTGTATGTAAGAGTGGCGTTGATAGGCCCATGCCTCCATTTAGACTTTCACCAACACCCACACCCAAATAAGAATTTCGCTGCATATATCTACACAGCAGATTACATGCTCATTGTGTTTGGGTGGTGAATAGAATGAACAGCATTTTGTCTTCTGTCTTGTGTTAAAGATGTATCGTGGGTATTTATTATTTGATTCCCACCAAATAGTGTTCGTTGAAGTCTCACTGGTAGAAAATGTACTAGATCGATTGCTGATAGAGCAAATTTCAATCCATATTGAATACAACGTTTCAATGCGATGCGAAATTTGAAACCGGTAAGAGTATAAATATATAATCCAATAAAAGGACTGGTATAGTGAAGTAATGGAAAGAGATTATATGCAAAAATTGTGAATAGCCTGCCCAGATATTGAAAGTTTGTATCGAAGCATGGTGGATGTCGGTGGGTATAAGTAGATGTTGATGTGGTTTCGGGTGCGCGGTGTGGATATGGGATATGGATGTTGATCTAAGTCTTAGATCGACCCACACTCTACATGAAATTGATTTAAAGTTTTCGAATAATTTCAGTGAAGTAGATGGGAAGCATGTTGACCGAAGAATAACGCCAAATAAACTAAGTCGTGAAAAGTTCATGAAGATTCAGAGAACATTGATTTCAGAAACATTTGTTCTAACATATCAGCGAATCTAGATGCATGTTTATCTTCTGATTTGTATTCTACTTCATCTTCATTCTTTTGTTCTTTGTCTCCATTTTCATCAGGCAAATAATATATTTTCCATCATGTGCATTATGTTCGATTTTCTCAACAAAAAATGAAAAATCAGCAGATAAAAGCACTTCTTCTTCATCAGGGACGTATGACTGAGGCGAAATGTCGCCTCTTCCGGCTTGCATTGCGCACGTTACTTTCATAATAAACAATGTATTACTACTGAAAAATTCAGCCGCTAAACGACTTTTCGATGTTGATACAAATGGTAACCACTTAACTCGTTTTCCAATCATGCTTTTATAATCATCGACTGCTGCTCCTGTTAATGTAGCGCCGCGATACACAATCATTTGTCACTACATACATAATAAATTAGATAGTCATTTAAAAGCCAACAGTAAGGTTCAATTGTGTTCAGTTGGCTAATGTCTTTATTTCTCAATGTTGCATTAACTAATCTGAATAAAAATGAGTCAGCTGTATAAAGACGTGCACAACATCTGCAGATTCCAAGTTTATAGATTTTCAATCGATTGTAATCTTTAATCTGCATTAATGCATTAACAAGCACGTATCCTTCGAATTCTCTGTCCAATAACTGAGCTTCTTTCAATATACCTGGGCATCGAAAGCAATTATGTGAAAAATCCATTGAAAAATAAAAGCAAGCATTTACCTAGAATAATTAATTCTACAACTTTTGGATAACCACCTGCAAATATGGCTCGATTTCTACTTTCCTATTGATTGATAAAGTCTGATTCGTCTCATACATTTTCACTGTGATTTCTGCGTAACAAAAACGTTCTTGTCTTAAATAACGGTCAACATCAATTTCTTCTCTCTTTATTCGCCAGTGCATTTGTTTATCCGTCTTACTTGTTTGGACTTTACTCCGTAGATCGACAACATATTTTCCCACTTCAACTTGTTCCTCGTTTGTTTAAATGCTTTTTCTATCGTCACAATTTCAAGATCAGAGTAATGCTTCCATTCTTTCATTTCATTCTCATTCCATGGATTCTGATTTAACTGCCAAAACGAAAGGACTTTTCTCTTCAATGATGTGCTTGCGGATGCTGTGATTATTATTTTGAAATAATTTAATTAAAAGCTAAATACAGATTGAGTTCATGAAGTCTAGTATTAGAAAATGGCAAAGGTCATTGAAAATGAACTAAGCTGATGTAGTCTTACAGAAGTTTATTCGTAACATTATTACATATGTGCGAGTTGTCAATCGCTCTCCAGCCGTCACACTTTCAGAAAAATGAACTTTTTACTTTCTATTGCAATCAGGTTGAACGTCGTTTTCTATTTCTATGTTGAGTGTAATAGAATTGATTCACTTGAAAAGAATTATTTTTTATTCTTCCATCTCAAAAAGATCAAGCACGATCTTTGTAGGATTTCGACATTGTCTTGATAGTCAAAATTATTCAATAATCCTGAAACAACTTTTGCTTAAGATATGAGTTTAGTTGAGGGTGTGGATGTGAGTGTGGGTGTGGGTGTGTGTCTTCTACCCACTCACTCACACTCACACCCAACCACACTCATACCCACCCAAAATAAAGTTTGATTGCTATGTAAATGAAAATCGTCAAAAGTGCGATTGAAAATTATGGGCTAACAATCAATAATGTAGAATATTATTTAACCAAAATAATCAGCTCCATGTGAACTAAAAATTGAAGACATTCTCACATTGTTCAGTAAAACGTTGCTCATGCAAAAATCTTGTCTTTTTTTAGCTTTAAAAAATTCCAATCAATATTGCTCTTAGAAAAATACGTACGCACGGCTTCGATATTTTCTACTTTATTGTTCATTTTGGACAAACACTGGGTATAGGTAGTTTTGGAATCCATTGGTTGCCATATAACGGTGGTACGTTCACAGGCAAATATGCGGCTTCTCGTGTGTAGAGTCCGATACACATTGGCGCTGTTAGAAGAAGAAAGAGATGTGTCAGCAATGATCCAAAAGGTTGTGGTAAGAGAATTCCCATGTGCGCTTCTCTGCAACAAGCAATGCCATTTACAAGAAAAAAGGCCCATGTGGATAAAGCTGACGAGGTTTCATTGAAAACGACAAGAACAATGTGAACGTGAAGAAAACCGCTGACAATAAACGTTATTAGAGCCATAATCTCTCGAGAAGATATATATAAACTAAGAGGTCGAAATAGGGATTCCTTGAGCACTGTACCGATGAGTAGATTATATCGTCGACCCCAAAAATCACACAAAGATCGAGAGAATAATGGAAAATTAGTGAATGATTGAAGTGTATATTTATCTCGAGTAATGAGTCGAATAAGGACAATTTGCATTTCGGTCATATATGAAGACGTTAGAAGTGCGAAATAACACATAGAGATTTTTGCATAGCTATCACTCGGTTCACACGTAAGAAGCCACTCATACAACCAATGATTTACTGTTACTTTCACGCCAGCTGATATAATATCAGCGATAATGGGCCACTGATTTTCTACCGATTTCGATGGCACGAACGGAAATATATTCCATAGAATTTTGAAGATAAACGAGTGAAATGTCAGAATTTTGTGTGGTGAAAGAACGGTTAAGTGAATCAAACGAATCGACATCATCCAATAGAGTGAGACTGTAAGAATAGAAAGAAAATGAATCTTAGGAAGATCATGGCAGCCAATATGAGCAAGTAGTATGCAGGGTGTGAGTGTCAAAATGGTTCGAACCAGAGTATGACGAATAGTACGAATAAGATAAAAGCATGTAACGCTATGCACCAGCCAACCGACCATGATGAGTAGGAAATGTACCATATTGATAACTCTATGAATATCTTTTCAAATTCTAACAAATGAAATAAGTTACTCCTATTCACTTTGTAACTATTCGTTCTAACGACGTCGTACGTTAACCTTCTTACCATGCTTTTGCCTTCTTTTATTTGCCTTCTTTTTTTTCTGACTGTTTTGCCTAGTCAATCCTGTGTTGTTGAGTTTTTTTTGTAGAAGAGTGAGCAGAACAGCAAAAAGAAAATTGATCGTGAGAAGGTGAAAAACAAACTGTGCATGTGACTACATTTTCAGCCTTGAGGGATAAAGGTAAAGTAAAAAAAATATTTAGTGCACACGATAACAAGAGATGAAGGAACGTGAGTGTATGAACTGACTAAATCCATGCGAACAAAACTATAAGTGATGTTCATCGAAGGCTGATTCACTTCACCTAGACTGAGATTCTAAGAGCTTTTTAGTCACCATATTGATGGGAAGGTATAAGTCAGCTTTTTGCTCGTGATTGATCAGTTCACCTTAAAGTTTCATATAAAATTCACAATTAGTTCAATTTACGATATTTGATTCACATTCATCTAATATTTCTAGATGACAAAGTCATTCATCATTTAAGCCAAAACAGAGCTATTTAAATTTTAAAATCAACCCTAAATCAAGTTATGATTTTAAATAGAAAAATAAAATATCAATAAAAAAAGAGTGTGGCTGCGAGTATAGATGTAGGTGAAGAGAAAACAAACACCCACACCCACATTCTTGTAAGAAATATCATGCTAGATGTTGTATTTAGAAATTTGAATTCGATTCTAGTCTTTCTTAGTGTGTCGAGCTACTCGCATACTCGAGAAGTCAAAGAAAAAACAGTGGTATCTTTATATGATTTGATTTGAAATTTGTTTAACATTCAGTCACATGATGATGAACAGTTAAGACATTGAATACGTCATAATAACTGAATATGAAAGTGATAATGACCGAACGAAAAGTTTTTTGATATTTTTGCATTATATTATTTCACTAATAACAACTGGTTTATGAATCAGAGTGATCCATAAAACGAGCGTTATCGATTAGACTTCCTCTCCAAGTCACAATCACAGGATTCGAATCAAAGTAAATATTTTAAGGAGAGTGATACAGTTAGATCGAATAAGCGATTATCAAAAAGAAATTTGTTACTTAAATAAAAATTTCAAGATGAAGAATTCACTAAATATCACGATATAATGTTGCATGCTTTACATTAATACAAAATTAAGAATCTAAAGATGCCTGACCTGTAAAATATTAAGTTTTGATAATTTATCTAAATACAATACATAAATACATTTTCTTCTCGAGGAAAAATTGTTCGGATCAGATGAAGGATATGGATGCGGAAATCGATGGAGACGAAACCTCCACACTCACAAACACACATGCACACGATCACATTCATACCATATACTATTAGGAAACGCTATTTGAATAGCGATTTTTAAAAAAAACATCCCTTTCAGTGTGATAGTGTGTTATCAAGCAAAAAAAGATTTCAATTCATACGTTAGATCAATAAACTCTTCATGACCATCAAAAAATAATTAAATAGTACCTGGTATTTTTTTATTTATAAATAAGAAACATTATAACGTGAAAACAAGTTACTCTTAATTATTCATACAACACTCAATATAAATAAAACGGGAGATCATCGCTAAGATGACTACTGTCGCTCATCCGACTGTGATTGAGATCTTCGGTCTGCTTCTTGCTTGATCATTGCATGCTGAATATGCATTGGAAGACCTGGATTGAGACTCATAGTATAAGGCAATAACGTTTTTAGTGTGTCTCTAAAATCAACCATAATTTTGATGAACATTGTATCGTCTTGTACATATGGATTTCCTTGTTGTTGAATCATTGCTAACGGAAAAAATTTTGGTATACCACTGGCTATATTCATATTCGATCGAGGTCGTTGAAAACTATTCGATTTAATATCTGGTCGAAATGAATCGATGATATGTCGTTGTTGAGGTGTTTGATCGTATAAACAAAATATGACTTTATAGTTGAACGGAAATATAAGAATTGGATCGTTCGAACTTCGCATGAGAACAAAAAAGAGTGACATGTGTGTACGGCGTGCATTTCCATCACCATTTAAATATAAACGAGCTCTCATTTTATAACCATTTGGTGATGAATAAAATGGAGGTGAATAAGTTGATGTTTGTCTTTCAGATTGTGCATCAGCTAGAAATTAAACAAGAAAGATTCGTCAGCGCACCATAGTTGAAGTTAATATGTGGAAATCACATCTCCCTTTTTAATTTTGCTATACTTGTGCGAAATAGATGATATGAAAATTTTCTAATAAACTATAGAAATTTTCCAAAAATTGATCAATCCCCAAGAATACTTTCTTTCTTATTTATTTCTGCATTTCGAAGAGTTTCAGTTTTTTAAACTTACCCTGTATTTTTACTTAAATTGTTGCTATCTGTAAGGTTGCCCATCTTCTGTTTTTCATTACCTTTCTCTACTGTATCTACGGAATATCTGAGCGTGCAACTGTGGATCTTGATAGCATGAGAAACCTTTTATCAAACATTCTTGAACTTACTCATTTTCTCTCGAACGTTTATAATTTTCCAAATCAATGTTCCATCATATGAAACATATTGCAAATCATTAATTTTTTCTTCTAATGACGTAAAATCTTGATTTAGAATGTCTTGGTTGTGTTTTATTGCGTCCAAATAAGCATTTGATTCTTCAATGGATAATTTAACCTTCGATAAATCTTCCTTCAATGTTAGAAGTGCTATTTGTATTTGAAGTGACTCATTGGTTAGACGTTGCTCATCATTGGTCAATGTCTCGATACCACCTATCAAGATATTGAATATTTCATAAAGCTCTTCTAATTCCGTTGCAACAGGATTACGTGCTGCTGCAGTTGTTGTTCGCGAAAGATCAATTTTCATTTGCTTATCGTTCAATTGTGAAAACATTTGACGAACAATGTTGATTATGGCGCGTTGATGTTGTTCAGTCAAAAAATGATCCTTCATTCGAGCACAGGCAATCTAGAGAGACGACTTTTTCCATGTCAATATCATATAGATAATTTTCATACTCGTTCATTACAATCGAACTCTTTCAATATGCAGTTAATGGTGAGTTTTTGACATTCAGAAATTTTATGTTGATTGATTGTTTTAACTGAGTTGGACTGTTCCCCACAATATTCACATTTTAGATTTAAATGAGATTGATCGAGATGTTTCTTTTGGAGAAAAAAAGATACAAAATTCAGAAATAAAATAAACAAAATAAATTACTTGATAGTTGTTTAATATACCAGTCCATTGGCAAAAAGAACAATCAATGTCAAGTGATTTCATGTCATTTTTGAAACCTCTGTCAACTACGATCTACAGAAAAAGAAATATAGGATGTGGGTGTGGGTGTGAGGTGTGGGTGTTGAGGTGGGATTGGGTGTGAGTGTGTGGAGTGTAGGGTGTGGGTGAAGAGATGACCAACACCCATACCCACACCCAATGCACGAAATCCTGAATCACTTACGAAGAATAATGGTACTGGATGAGCGAGAAGGCAGTTAGACTGTGAACCTGAATCATAATTGGGACACCTCGTCTGGCAATATCTGCATTCACCATCGTTGTAGCAGCATCTACCTTATTTGGATAAGGACAAAGGGTGTGGGTGTTGATATCGAGTGGGATAGTATCCATACTCACGCCACACTCACACCCACAATCAATTTTCGTTCCTCTTTCTCATCTTCTTACTGTTTGCAAAAAAGTCGAAATTCATCATCTCTTATTTCAAATATATCTAAATATGCATATTGTATAGAAAGATCGTATTGATTAGAACATTTCCAAGGAATAAACAATATTTTATATAAATTTAGCATGATTTTCTACTACCGTAATCTCACATTGACATAATCAAATAAAGAACAATCAACTTTGACTTAGTTTTCATTATGCGAGAGATACAATGCAAAAGCCAATTACTTAAGCATAAACAATGATGTATTGTGTCGAAATTATACAGATATGAAGTACAAAAAGGATTTTTCATATAACAAATATAAAGAGAGGAGATTTATATTGTAACTAAGCTGCAGCTATTCGTACTTCATGTTGTTGTTATTCAACTTCTTCATCATCTATTTGCCAACAAAAAACACCATTGCTAGGAATAGACAATAAATGTGAATATCATCGTAACGTAAAAAAAACTATACTAGCATCTAAATCCCAAAGAAAGCCGATATCATTTATATTCCATTGTTTGGCGATTTCTTTGAGTTCTCTTTTTCGGAATTATGGTTCATTCTATAATTTAAATAAGACAATTAAATTTTGAGAAGAATATACATAGAACAAATCTACTTACACTGATGTAAATATTCGATTTGCACATTGGTTAGACTTTCTTCCATGTTTTCAAGTTCTGAAAAGCCCAAAATCTATTCATGTCTATTGCCAAAAAGAAAAATCTAAAGGAATACAATTGTCATTTGTTGACGCAGTTGAGATTTCGCAAGCATGATTATGATGACTTGTCTGTCGTACAAAATATGATTTTGTTCTTGATTCAAATAGAACTTTAAAAAATATTTGTCAAGTTTAATATGATTTCCATTGGTCTCCACGAATTCAATATTGAAACTATCGAACGTTCGTAATGATCTATGATAGTGCAATGAAGAAATCTATATCATGTTCAGAATGGGCTTTCCTTCTACAATAGGTCTCAATCAAACAATTCCATTCTGTTGAGACATGGGCCAACTTGGTTCCGTATGAATACGATCAAAAACAAGATTGATTTTCTGGTATCTGCTCTATATTCTAAGTATACATAACTACTATTTAAATTAAATGAAGAGAATAGTAGTTAAAGATTTTTTATTTTACGAACGACTTACTTGTAGCACATCTAACTAAAAATATTTCACTTCATGGAATGTAAACCATTGCAAGAATAATCGACAACAATTATATAAATGAAAATATCGTCAGCTAATGGTATATATCTTCAGATTGATGATTCTTATATGAATTATATACGTCGAACAAAAAATATTAAAAGTCATAAATAGTCAAAAAGCAAAAAGTGTCGAGCTTTGTTTCATAAATAGGTGTACCGGGCGAGCATGATCTTTGATACATCAATATGTTAATGGCAATAAAATGATGTTGTCGATGGGAGAAAAAAAAGAAAAAAAAGAGCAAACGGCAGTAGATACATCAAAACCTTCGACAGCGGACACCTCTCTACAGTTTTATGGTGGACACTTTGGAAAAGTTCGCAAGGTAACCAGTAAAAAGAGGTTTTGGTGTAGTTGAAAATAGAAGTTTTCGATTTTTTCTTTCATTTAATAATTCATTCAACGTCTTTTTTCTTTTGATATAAAAAATATATATTTGAAGTATTCATTTATCTGAGAAAAACTAAATCATCGTCAAAATCACTACGAATTTTATTCGAATCAAAACAGATCATCAATCACAATACGTATTTATTAAAACTTAGAAAAAATAATTTTCTTCGTCTTTTTTTTTGGATAGATCTATTTAAGAAACTATATTATTTATTTGCTCGATACATATCCCAATAACGAGAATGTGTCATATTATGCATTTCTAACTTATTACAAGCTATCAAATTTTCTTTTGGTTTAATTATCTTTTAAAGTTCTTATGCTAGCTGAAAAAATTATAAATAACTCATTGCACTAATAAAATTATATATTCTTACTAGTTTATTTTTTCCATGGCTCGTGAAATATTTTCACTAATCAGTTTAATAGTATCATTATTTGTCCAATTTTCTTGTGACAATAAATATTCGATTAAGTTTGGATATTTTGGTACATCTACGAGATCTTATGATGTTGTGAGATATTTATATATATGTGTAATGATACTAAAATCAAAATCAGTTCATACATACATAACAATACTGTCATAACCGCTACCAATGCCCACGCAGTTAATGCCATAAATATTTCTAATATGGTTAACATGTACTGAATGAATGATAGATTATAAAAGCGAAAAAAAAGGCATTGTACCGGCAACTGTTACAAGTAATGAATAAGCAGATAAATAACTAAATACAACTGGTGATTGAGTTACATCAAGTACATCTATCATTGTTTGTTTTGAAATATGTAATAGATCAACTAACATTTCAAGTCGATTCGTTTCTCTTATTTTTTTTTACCAAACTCTGTTTAACTATGGGTTTTTTTACAAATATTGAATTTATTTGATCGACTTCGCTGTAAGTAGCCCTTCATTAAAAAAAAGAGTCAAACTTATATTCCTTAATCAATTAAAAAACAATTTAACATGTCTTGTTTTCTTTTTATCATGAAGTGTTACAATCATGTATTCGTGTCATATATCGCACAACCATTGAATAGAAAAATTTCAAGATAGAAAATGAACTTTCAGTTGCTTGCCCACTTTCACTATCAAATAAACTAGCTGTACATTTTGCATTAAATGCTTGCCGTCATAAAAACTTAGTGTTGTGAAGGTGAGTGTGGATGTGAATCCGGGTGCGAGTGTGGGTAGGTATGGGTATCATGTTATCTTCACTTATACACCCACACCCCATCCACATCGACACACACCTACAGCCGCAGTCACATCCGGCTAAGAGCGCAAGCGGTGCACAACATTCAAGAAGACAAACATTCTGTGCTCACTTTTATCCAGACGAAACGTCATCTTGCACTAGCAAGTGTTTTATTACAGCGCAAGAACGGCAGATGCTAGTTCGATAGATAAATGGATGTTATCACAGAAAGCAAAGGATTCTGCTTAAGTTGCATTCTTATTTTTAACTTGATTGAAATCGAGTTCAATGGATGCTTGGGTCGCTCTGGTGTCCAAGGACTTGCTAGTGATGCGGAAAACGTATTCTGGATAGATTCCTGCAGATAATAAGAAGACATCAAGTCATAGTATCAGAATGAAGAATCTATTCATTTACTGAATCTGGTGGAATATAGTGTATGATTGTTGTTGTCGAGTTCTCTGAGTATAACGTCGATCCAAACATATGCTTTCGACAGAGCGCTGCAAAATACAGTGAGATGCCAAGAATAGAGTAATTTAGACGAAGAAGAACGATATTTTTCTGGGATATTAACAAATTGAAGGAGTGATGCTTGTTCGTATTCATCTCGAGCGACGAAAGAACATCGCCCAACGTTCCAAACGAGTTGGCCTATTAGATTTATCTCTTCTTTAGTGCTTGTTAATGATGGTGCATAAAAAATCCATTCAGCAGCTGCTGCTTCTGCTACTGATGAATTAAGTGACATGATACCTATACTATTAGCAGGAATGGAGGTCCCTCCTCGTGATTGATCTTCAATTGAAGCAACATTTGACGATAAACATTTTTCGATTTCAGCGTTTCCATTAATAAGAAGATTTGGATTTCGAGCCACTGTACCATTCAGTAAGATAGTAAAAAAGATTGATGATGCATCTGTTATTTGCTGATCATCAAGAATCATTCCTCTCAGGTCAGCATCCGAATAATCAACATTGTAGCCGGTCAATCACGAAAAGTCAACGTACCGAAGTGTGGCACTTTTAAATATGACATTTTTCAAATGGGTATGTCGAAAACTGGCTCCTGTTAAATCACATAGTAAAATTAGCATTTTCTATGATTAAATTGTTGAACGAAGCGTTTCGTAGTGATGTTCCTCCTAACGATATATTACGCAAGATCGATCTCATTTTGGTGTGAAACATGGGCACGCTCAGATCAATGCCGTTTAATTCGGCATCCGTTAATGTTATGGGGTTTTGCCCGACCATGATCGCTCCGGACTCATAAAGAAATCGAATGAGATGAGTTTTGTGTTCAATATCAAGTTGACAACAAGCAGTGAGAGTTTTAGATCGAAAGACAGACAAGAATAAAGGATTAATGTGAGTAAATGAAA